CCACAGGACTGGTGGCCTAACGTAGAAATCATGTTTGCCACTTGGTCATTAGGAGACCTTGCATCCCGAGGAGGCAAGTGAACTTGGGCCCCTTTTCTTCTCCTCCCACCTGACAGTTACCTGGAGGAGGAGGTGAGGACAGCCTCTGTGTTATACGTCAGAGCTACTCACCGCCTCAGTGGGCAGTGAAAAGCATACTGGTGGAATGGCTGTTTTGTTTTCATTGTTAATCTGAGAATATGCTCATAAAAGAGTCAAACCATATAAAAATATAGTTGAGTCTAGTTTTCATTGCCCCAAATATAACTGCAAAAGAAATATCATAGTACTTGATTTTCTTTTTATCAAATTAAATCTGACCTCCAAGTCCTAGCCCACTAGGTGGGTGGAAATTTGTTTTCATAGGAACGTTTGTGAGCGCTCCCAAAACAGCTCAAAGGTCCTGGGACTTTAGGTAAGCTGGAATACCTGAGGGGATCTGTGTCCAGGCTGGTCGCCATAAAAATTACCCCTTGTGACACATCATCTTCTCCAAGGCCCAGCCTCCCAGGGTCTATCCCGGGACACAGGCTGAAGATTTCGCCAGGCTGGTACATCTCCTGGCCTGTCCCCCCTCCCTTAGGATTCCTGGAACTCTATCCCCTCCTCAACCCCACCCCAGCCACACTCCTTTCTGCATCAGCACACTCAACATTGCTCAGAGTTGGTCTTTAGTAACATTTGCTTTCAGCAGATGCCCCTGAGGCAAGGAAATGAGGGGTGGCAGCTACCTCAGAATGGGAAGAGGGACAGACACAGGACAAAATGTCAGTCGCTCTCATTCTGTCCTCTACTTCCACAACCACACAAACAACTGAATATCCCGTATGTTGGCTTTTGAAGTATTCACCGCGAAGCACCGGCCTGTCTTTCCCCACTTCCTCTCTAACTCCTCTCTCAAAGTCACCAATATCAGGACTGTGGTGTGCAGTGTGTTATCTTATAGTTAACTATCAGTTATCTGGTTGTGGACCTTCAATATTTGATCAGGAAATATTGATTGAGTTCCTACTCTGTGGCAGGCACTCAAGGAGCAGGGGAGGTCAGCTGTAGCCTGGGGGCGAGAGGGAAGTAGCAGACTGCAAAATAACTGGGAAGGACAGGGCCCCAGAGAGTCCACTGACCTATCCCACGAGGGTGGCCAGTGCCGAATGTGTGGATGTGAAACAAGTTATTCCTGGGAACGGGTTGCAGTGGAGGAAGAGGATGGGAGAGCACAGTGAGCCATGAAGCAAGGCAGAAGGTCCTGAGCCCAAGCAGGCACAGTCTGAAGCTAATGTCTAGAAGTCCAGACACCATCCCTAGAGCTCTCAGGGGCCTTCTGAGGACTTCAAGTAGCATACTCAAGTTATTCCCATGTTGGCTTTAGTGTAGAGAATGGGACGGAGCGAGATGAGCCCAGTTAAGAAGTGATTCAGTAAACTGTGGTCACTCTGATGGTCTGTATTGGAGTAGCCATAGTGGCAATGGAGGAAAGAGGACAAGCAAGAGAAATGTTTAGGAGGCGGGATAGTTAAACTCTGCTGATTGCTTGGGTGTGTTTGTGGGGGTGAGGAGAGAGAGGAGGTGGGAGGCACAGCTGACTTGCATAGTGGGTGGATAGTAGTTCCAGTCCCTAAAATAGGGAACTCTGGAGGAGAGATGAAACAATTAGCTCAGATTTTGAAGATGCTATGTTTGAGATACCTTGTTAAAGGCATAGGTGTGAAACTCAAGAGAGGCTTAAGCTGCACAGATGTTATTAATGATTTGTGTGTGGAAACCAAAGCCGCAGGCTTGGCTGGGGTCACCCCGGGGAGCACGGAGAGTGAAAAGAGAAGGTGTGGGTTGGAATCCTAGGATCATCAGCAATATTTCAGGGACCTGTGTTTGGGCCTCTATACTTTAGGAATGTTATTAGGAAGACATGTGAAACATGAGGGAAGGCATGTTTTCAAAGTCAGTTAGCAAATGTTATCAACTTTTAAAAATCTTACCCTGCTTCCATTTCTTCTGAAGGGAGAAGAATGAGCATGGTTAGTGCCTCAGTTTCCTCATCTTCAAAATGGAGGTGAGGAAAGGGTGGAGGGGGCCAGAGGACTATAGTAAAGGAGCGTGGGTGCCTTGGAGGTGGGTGTGCTATGGCAACATAACCTCTGAAGAGGTGGGATCCTGATCCTATATTTCTGAAACATACAGTGTTGTGAGCCAATGTTACCTTAGTTTAAAAAGTAATCATTGGTCCACAGCATTTACTCAATAAATGTAAATTATCTCCATTATTATCATTAATTATTAGCGTGGACAATGAAGACTGGCTCTGTGTTCATTTGGCGTTACATGACTCCAGAGGATGGAGTCAGACAGAGCTGAGTTCTAATCTTGTGTGACCTGGAGCCTCAAGCTTCTTTCTTTTTTTTTTTTTTTATATATTTTTTTTGAAAGATTTATTTATTTATTCATACAGAACTGGGGTACAGGCCAGAGGCTCAGGGAGGGTGAGAGGATTCACCAGAGACAGAGTGGGAAGCAGAACAGGCTGACTGACGAAGTACACTGCTGAGGGGAGCAGTGGGCGGGTCAGGAGAGGTCTGCCACGCCATGTGGTCACCTCCGGGGCAGGTGGGGATCGAACTCATGCGGAAGTGGCTTTAGTTTCTCAGTGCAGTGCTTTAACCCGCTGCGCCACCGGGGAGGGCCCTCAAGCTTCTTTCTTTTTAATGGGAATGATCACACCCAGCTCCTTAGTGAGATAGCATCTAGGACCCTGGTTCTCTGGAGGTGTTTCCTAATGGTTCATTTCCTCCCCTTCCCTCTTCCACAGGGAGGGCCAGAGAAGTCTGGTGACTGACTAGCGTTTCCCTGTCAAGGCACCCTCCAGTACAGCACTGTGCTGTACAGACTGGTCCCTGCTGTGAAGGCCTGAGGCACATTGGTGGTTAGGTATTTGCAAACCTTCTCTAAAGACCACTCTTCTCTAAAGTGATTTTCCCTCCCTCCCAGTTGACCCACCGGTCTGTGAGAGGCATTCTGGCATCATCACGAGAAAGCTGGACTCTGGGGAGGGGAGGGCAGCCGAGGGGAGGGATGTAGTGAAGCACTGGATTTCCATGGCTTCTCAATGTGCTCGTGAAGCAAGGTCTCGCATCTTGCATGTGGTTAGAGCAGCTGACAACTGAGACTTCACCATGCCCAGCTGTGCTGTGTACTCACCAGGTGGTCCTTCTCAGATGCACACCTGTAGGCCTGCTCCCGGGTCTGGCTCTTGACTCTCCCAGTGTCAGCTCCTGCCTGCCTTGGTGCTGGCCTCCCTGAACGGCCCCTCCCAGCCCTGGCCAGGCTGCTCCCTCTCCAGAGAATGCCGTGCCCCTTGGAGGCGGCCCACTGAGTGGACACATACCCACTCCCAAGGGAGTGCTGAAGCCACCTGCCCTCACACGGGGGATTGCTAGGCCCTTGAATGAAACTGCACAGTAACATCACGGCCCGATGGGCTCACACTGTTGTCCTCTGGACGTCTATAAGACAAGGGGCCTGTGTTACCCAGTGTTGGCTCCTGAGAGCTTCACACCGAGGGGCCTTCTGTGGGGTTAGATCGTAGACATGAGTGGACACATGATTGGGCCGATGGACAGACACAGGCCAGTGGAGCTTGTTGAGGCAAGTGAAAACATCCCCTGATTTAGGTGCCAAACTTCTCTAGGAGTGGAGAGGGTTGCATAAACTTTCTCCCACACTAAACCTTGATCACCCCCAGACTAATAGCCCTCGGCTATACTGGGGGTAACAATGGAATTTCTTCTTCCCCCTCAACACCCCCTGTCCAAAGATTTTTCTTGAACAAGGACACAATTCAAAGGAAGGTGGTTGTATTTGTTCAAGGGACTGCAGTAATACAGTGAGAGAAGATGACTTTAAGTGCTTTTAAGTAGTGACTGTGCTTTCATCATTGACATTATCTTCATAAATTCAAAATTCTCTCTTTGATGGTTCTTTCTGGAAGTCCTTTAGATTTCAACAGCAGTGGAAAGGGAAGCGTGGACAGCTCCCCTTTCTTGATTCTTTCCACCATGTGGGAGTCCCTGGTCCCCAGGAGTATCCATACTTTGTTCTCATAGCTCTCTGGAAATTTCTTGATTCAAGGGGGTGTTGGAATCAGACTGAGTGAGAAGAGAGTATGTTCGCCCAGTTTCTGTTAGCATGCATTGGGTAGCCACTGCTTAGCACTAGCCCAGCTACAGCATCTTGGACTTGACCTTCCATACCCTTGGAGCAGGTGGCTGAGCTGGCTCCATCTCCAGGGCATCATCCTGGGGACAGGATGCCCCCAACCCCAGGCATTATGCTGTTCCAGAATTACCTCATAGCCAAGCCTCATATCAAATAGTCTCTTCGCCCTCTTAGTGCCCCACTTAATCTCAGGATGGGCATAGACAGGGGCAAAGGGGATTCTGAGAGGAGCAAGCAGGATCAAGTGAGAAGATCCAAGCCCCATGGTAGACGGGCACCCACAGGGCAACAGCTGCTGGGCAGGGTGCTGGTAGGGGTCTTGAGGAAACACCCAGCACTGCCATGGGGAGCAAAGAGGGAAGGGAGGATTCTGAGGACACTGACGAAGGAACACATGGATATTCTCTTGGCCTGGGGTTGTGAAGCAGCTAGAAGAAATGGCAGGTAAGAGAGGCTAGGGTTAGGACAAGCCCTCTGTCATGGCCAGTTTGGACAACCAGGACTTGAGGGTGGTTGGAAGCTCTTCCTTCAGGTCTCCCTTGTGAGCACCTTTTGCTCTGCTCTGTCCCATCTCCATTCATCCTCTGTTGTGCCTGGCACCCCTGAAAGGACGACCAGTGGCGACTAGCTTACTGTGGGACAGTCCACGAAGGAGGCTCCTCTTCCTGTTTGGGAAGGGCCTGGAACACACAGAAGTACTTGGTGCTCACAGCTCGCTCCGAGCCTCCTAACCCAAGTCTCTCTCTCTGCAGTCCCACCCTCTGTACCTGTGCAACGCCAGTGATGATGACAATCTGGAGCCTGGATTCATCAGCATCGTCAAGCTGGAGAGTCCCCAACGGGCCCCCCGGCCCTGCCTGTCACTGGCCAGCAAGGTAGAATCACAGTTGACTTCACACACGCTCTGAATTCGGCCCATCTCGGGGCTGTAAGAGGTCCCAGGGCTTGTTCTCCCCCTTTCTCCCTTTCTCCCAGTTCATTCAAGTTTCCCTAACCCCATGACTGGCCTCAGGGGGTGGAAATTAAGGTCTCTGTCCTTCACCATCAGCCGTCTACCTCGAGGGCATGCCCCCTACTCCATCTCCTTTCTCCTCACCTGGAAATTCCTGAACATCCCCCAACCCTGCCCAGGGTCAGGGCAGTATGGAAATCAGAAATATTTACTGAGCACCTTGCAAGGACAGCAGAAACGGAAGCCTTTGCCCCTACCCTTAGCAAACTCACAGCCTTCCTCCAAGATAGCAAATCTGACCCCACACCCCCAGTCTGGAGCTGGCTGCTGCTCTCCCCTACCCCCAGCCATGTGCTCGGTGGTTTGCTGTGGTCCCCACTAGCCCACTCCCTCCCAGGCCCTATAAATATTTGCATTTGTGACTCTACTTTCATATTTGTTGCTGCTTTCTGTGGGCTCACCACATGCCAGGTGGGAGATGAGACAGATTACATATATTATCTCATTTACTTTTTACAACAATCAGGAAAGCTAGACATTATTATTCTCTAATTGACATATGAGGCAAGTGAGGATCAGAAAGCTGAAGTAACTTGCTAGGGTGATGCAACTTGGAAGCACCAGAGCTCAGATTTGAACCAGTTTTCAAACCTGAGCGTTGCGTCTCTCTGCGTTTTCCTCCTCATTCTGGAGAGGAAAACCACTCTTCTGTGCAAAGATTTCCATGGATGAGAGTGATGTTAGATTGTGTGTGGCACAGACTTGGAGGAGGTGGCCCTGCTCTCCGGTTGATGGAAGTGGGGCATGACAGCCCCACCCTGTGTACCAGGCCCCAACCGACCCCTTGAGGATTTCCCGATGCCCCCTGAGGGCTGAGGAAATGGAACCACAGGCCTGCAAGAAGTACCACAGATTCCTACCGGAGCCCACAGCAGGCAGGAACGTGGACAGGATCCCAAATGTGGTGTCCACAGGGAGGGGAAGACATTCTCCCCCACCCCCTGCCTCTGCTGATGCAGAAGAGGGTCTTAGGGGAGGAGGGAAGTGGGGGGTCAGGACACACCTGAAGGGCTGAGAGTGCAAAACTCAGCAGCAGCAGTGATATGCTGATTCCCCCTGCCTCTGGACACTTCCCTTGTTTTACAAAATATGGACAAATGTCATTCATGTTTTGATTTGGTAAATGTGTGCTTGACATCGGTACTGTGTGGCTGTGAGTGGAGAATGTGTGTGTGAGACAGACAGATGCAAGGGACAAAGAGTCTTAGAAAAACTTGGCTGCTCACTCGGCGGGTGAATCCAGACACACGTGGGCACGTCTGACCTGAGAGGAGGTGTTTCTCCTCATCCTCTGGGGGCCCGAATCCTCGAGGAGAAATAAGACGTGTATACGGACTCTGGGAAGCAAAGGGTGTGTGGTCAGTATGCTCTGAGGTACTTTATCTTGCCGGGCCTTTGTTTCGACTACCATAAAGTGCTACTTTTATGCCCTGCCCAGTGGTCCTCGCGAGCATGCAGATAGAGTGTGCCGAGTGCCAGACAGCACCGGACCTAACCTAACCTATCCCTAAAGGGCCCTTAGGGCTTGCGCAGAAGCACTCTGGCCGTGGCCCATTGACCCTCTTTCTCCCACAGCCTCTGTGCTCACTGCCTGTGCTTGTGCTCCCAACCTCCACCCATTTTTGCTTCCTGTTTCTGCCCTTGTCGCTCTGGGGATGGCTCTGCCCACCTCCCCCCCTTCCCCCCCCAGCTCCACTGCTCCTGTCAGGTCATCCTTGGGCCTAACCAAGTGCATCTCCCCTGGGGGTCTTTTGTTCCAAAGGAGGAACAAAATGTGAATGTAGTCATGTGGGTCTTTGAGTTATTTCCAGTTATCTCAAGAGTCCCACAAATTTAATTAAAATGCTCATTTTGCTTTTGGTCGGAATTCCCATCAGTTCAGTGTTGTTACAAGTTATGTCACTGGAAAATAAATTTAAGGTATCAAAATTAACGTAATAAAACATTTTAAAAAATGGCTCCTGGGGCCCTCCCTGGTGGCGCAGTGGGTTAAAGCACAGCACTGAGAGGCTTAAGCCACTTCCGCATGAGTTCGATTCCCACCTGCCCCGGAAGGTGACCACATGGCGTGGCAGACCTCTCCTGGCCCGCCCGCTGCTCCCCTCAGCAGTGTACTTTGTTGATCTGCCTGTTCTGTTCCCCACTCTGTCTCTGGTGACTCCTCTCACCCTCCGCATCTCTGGCCTGTATCCCAGTTCTATATGAATAAATAAATAAATCTTTTAAAAAAAAAATGGCTCCTGGGAGGTACAGGGAGCAGATGGGTCTTTGGTGAGGAACTTTGAGAACTGCTGACACCACCTGCCCTGGCTGGCCGTCTCTGTCTGTGCAGTGGGGCATTGCACCCACCGCGCTCTCGGCCTGCTCTGTCTGAGCCTCAGGGGACCTGCACATTCTAGCGCACATCTGTGAGCCTCCTTCCTCGTCTTAAAGGGGCATTAGTAATGGGACGTAAATCATACGGTTATGAGGATTTAATGAGACAGTGCAGCTGGGAGCTCAGCCTCTTGCCAAGCACATAGTAACCACTCAGTAAACAATCAGAACAGTCACCATCGTCGTCACTGATGCCTTTATACCATGCTCTTATCGCCAACAAGGTCAGTTTCTTCTTTCATTGTTAATCCTTCTTGATTTCTGAAACCAACCCCATAGTTCTGGATTCTTCCATTCTTATCACCACCACTACCACTAGTCCTCTACTTGATCACCCAAGCTGGTTCCTGTTTATTAGCAGCTCTCTAGACATCCTTGTGATAGGTAGGTCTCATCCTCATGCCTGGGCCTGTGCATGACTTTGTGCCTGGTGGAGGAGTTGGCTCTGGAGGCAAGCAGATGGGTGCAAGCTGTGCCTCTCTTCCCATAGAGACCATGCCCTGGTAACCGGGCACCAGAGGCCGAGGTTTGGGTGGGTGGAAATCCTGCTGCTTGGATATGAGCTGTGTGATCTGGGCAAGTTATTTTGTCTCGCTCAGTTCAAGAAACTAGTAACTGTCTTACAGGGTGGTTGGGAGGAGTACACGAAGTCATGTATGTAAGGAACGTTCAGCGCAACAGCTGGCATAACAAGTACTTCAGGAACACTTATTCTGTGCCAGGCACTATTTTTCATAAGACTTCATACATAGATTAACTTATATAGTCCTCAAAACAACCCAACGAAGTAGGTCATATTATTACCCCCAGTTTATAGGAAGGAAAAGTAAGGCACTGAGCAGTTAAATGACTCGCCGAAGTCTCACAGCTAATAGTAGCAGGCTCAGGGTAAAATCTGGGCAGAGTGGATCTTTATAAAGGTTATAACCTTCGACTTCCTTGCTGTCAAGCCCGATGACTCCCACTTCTTTTCTTCTGAATTTTTCTAGACTGGCTTATTCCACCTAATCTCCCTCCCCGGCACGTGCCCATGGGCTCTTCCATGCATGCTACACCATGTTTCTTAGAGGTGTCTTGGGGCATAGGGGAACCTTGCAGTCTTGACCTCCAGCCCCACCCTCAACTTCAGCTCACTTTGATCTGATTTGTATAATAAAGATTTGTGTCTGATTTTGCATGTGTGTATGTGTGCATGTGTATGCTTGTGGAGGGAGTGAAAGGAAGGGTTTTCTGCAATGAGAAAAGGCTTGGAAACCTCAGCTCTGCTTCATTCATCTGTACTCTAGAATGCTATTATCAGCACTATAATTATCTGTCTATCTATCTATCTATCTATCTATCTATCTATCCATCTATGCCTTGTCCCAACAACTAGATGATAAGTTAATGTGAGGGACTTGGTCTTCCCTGGCTTGATGCACTGGGCACAGTAGGCGTCCATCTTTGCTAAGCAGGAGGTAGACAGAGACTGTCCATGGCACCTGGAGGCGACATGTGAGGCCCAGGGAAGTGCAGCAACCGAGCCCTGAGAGGCAGAGGCTGGGGGTGGGGGGGGTGGGGGAGTGTCCCCCCTCCCCACTCCCGCCACTTTCTCTGTGGCGATTCCCACTGGTGAAGGCTGTGGGAAGTATTGCTGCTGCTCCCGGGACTGGCTGACTGCATCTTCCAAGGACGTCTCTGGGTGTCTTTCTAAAGTCCAACCTTCCTGTTCAGACTCTTTGCCTTCCAGAGTTCAGTGCCACAGAAGCTCTCCTTTTCCTCCATCCCTCCAGTTTTCTCGGGTGCAAGTGAACTAGAGGGAGGCATGGGTAGCCCCAGGGTGGGCTGCCGTCTGCCCCAGATCTTGTTGTTTGATTCCTAGATCTCTGGACACAGGCACCCACTGCCTGAAAGTCCTGTTTGTTTCCCTGTTGGCCAACTCTCTGGGCCTTTTTGATCACTTTTACAACTTTGTAATTATGGGCTGTAATGGGCTGGGGTGTTTGAATGTCATGGTAATTACTTTCCACTGTTCCTACCCCAATCCTTCAAAGAGAGAAGGGTGGGGATGTAAGAAAATCTCTAGAGAAGGAAGTCTGCCCTCCCCTCGTGTTTTTGGGGAGGGCTGTGTCCAGGGTCTCATTCCGGGAATGGGAAACACGAGGCCCCCGCAGCTGGCAACACAGAGAATGCAGGAGTCTCAATTCTGTGACCACTGGGGTGACCTCCCCACCCCCTGACCAAGTCCCTGGACTATGAGATTAGCAGAGAGACTCCTCCTTTTCCACTTAAGCTGCTCCATACCTGGTTTAGAAGACTCTGAAGATTCTTTTTGCCTGTGGTCACCTCAGGTGGGGTGGACTTCCTGGAAGTAAATGGAAGGAGAGGGCAATGAAATCTGTGACCCCTCAGTTTCTTCAATAATTCTATTCGGGAGTCCTGTGATTTTTTAGTCACTCACACTGGCGAGCCTGGGCCAGGGCTGGGCCTGGGTGCTGCTAGAGGGCCTGGCTCAGCTCCGGGGTAGGGAGGAAGTGGGGAGGGAGGGAGGGAGGAAGGGAAAGTTCTTCTGACCAAAATGGGGCCTCACTTGAGTGTCTCTGCCACTCTCCCCAGCTCCCCTGCCTGCGGGCTTCTGGGTCTTAGGGGCCCCCTGGCCCTTGCTGCAGCCTGGGGCGTGTAGAGCAGGGAGTGGGGAGCAGGGGGGCCGCTCCCCAGGCCTGCCTGGCAGGAGACCTGCCCTGACAGGCTCTCCCCAGGAAGGGAAGCAGAGATCAAAGCACTAAGAGTGTGAGTAAGCCCCAGCCCTGGCTCCTCTTCTTGCCACCACTGCTTGCAGAGGATTAACTCCTTCCATGCCTGCAGGAAGGCCCCAAAGATTCAGCAGGCCACCAGGGACCACAGGTTCCAGCCTGATGCCATTACAGGATGAGCCTGCTGCAGAGAGGAAGGTCGCAGAGCCTGCTGGGCAGGGAGCCCTCACGCAAGGCCAGGAAGGCTGTCGGCCTTTGCCCTTGTCCTGAGCTCCACCCTCAGTTGGTGTCTTCTCCCCACAGAGCCCCCAGATGCCTGCATTTCGTCTCTTTCTAGCTCTGGCTCTGCCTGCTTGGCTAATTCTGACCCCAAAATCCTGTGCAGTTATGTCCTTGTGGGAACAGCCCACAGCCTCCCTGCCTAGTGCCTCTAGTGCCACCCTCAGGGAGAGAATGAAGGGATAAAGCCCTGGGCAGGGACTCCATTAAGTCCTTGAACTGAAGCCAGAGAGAGTTGGCAAACTAGAGTTTGGCAGGGAGAGAGAGCCACACGATGGGCTGAGCTTGGGGCTCTGCCACAGAGGCTTTGGGTGGGAGCAGTGTCCCTCACTCTTGGAACCGCGCCTGAGCTGGAGGGGGGCCTGCAGGCTCCTCTTGTCAGGCAGGCCCCACTCTGTTCTGCAAGATCTCTCCACCTCTCTGCTGATGCCCTCTGACCCCCCATGCACCCTGGCCACTCCCAGCTCTCTGTCCACTCAGACTGGTGTAACTTGAGGGAAGGGGCTAGGTCTTATTTGTCCTTAGCCCTAGAGCCTAGTCTGTCACCCTGCAACTAGTAAACCCTTTCTTAGGAAGTTTGTTCCATCACAAAAAGAAGGCCTGACCGGGGCCCTTTGAAGGCAGGGGCCCAGCCCAAAACAGGCAGGGGAAGGGGGTTCCACTGACCTGCATGAGTGTGCAGAGGTGGTGTGCAGGATCCGGGGAGGGGTGGATGTGTGAGGGGTCAGGACAGGGTGTAAGCGGGCTCCATCCTTCTCTGATCCCAGCCAGTCTCTGCTTCATGTTTCACAGGCCCGGATGGCAGGCGAGCGGGGAGCCAGCGCCGTCCTTTTTGACATCACTGAGGATCGAGCAGCTGCCGAGCAGGTACCCAGGGACCTCAGGTGTTTGAGGCGGGGGCTGGACGGAAGAAGATTAAGTTGCCAGGGGCAGGAGAAGTCAGGACCCAGCAGTCCTTCTGGGCACTTTTCCCCCTGCAGCTGCAGCAGCCGCTGGGGCTGACGTGGCCAGTGGTATTGATCTGGGGTCATGATGCCGAGAAGCTGATGGAGTTTGTGTACAAGAACCAGAAGGCCCATGTGAGGATTGAGCTGAAGGAGCCCCCGGCCTGGGTAAGCACGCCAGAGTGTCAGCCCCTGCCAGCTGCCCCCTCCCCGGCTTGTCCTGCGGCTACCCCCAACTCAGGTCCTGTGGACTCGTGTGGTGAAAAGGGCCTTAGAATCCCTCGAGTCCAACTTTACCCACCAGCCACATGCTCCTGAGCAAGCTTCTTTCCCTCTCTAGGTCTCATCTGCAGTGACCCGATCAGGCCAACTCAGTTGTAGGCTTGGTTTCAGCTGTGGTTTCAGCACAGCCTAGCAGAACCAGAGACGCTGTGGCCCCTGGGCCCGAGAGGGTCCTTCTCTGCTGCCTGGGAGCCTTGCTCAGCTCCTCACTCTGCAGCGCCCCCCTTGCCGAGGGGCCCTTTCCCCTTTTCCTAAGTAGGTGGGTTTAGACAGTTCACCTCTCTGACGCCAGGAGAACCCCTCCTGGGAGTGCCGTGGACAGAGAGGCGCCACCCTCCGTGCAGCCCCTTCCCTGCTCTACCCCAGCTGCAGGAAAGGAAAGCCCAGGGGGCCCCGCATTTCCTTCCAAAGGGGCCAGCTCTGTCCAGACATGTGACCCTCTCCACCTCTGCTCACGCCCTCAGCCAGACTATGACGTGTGGATCCTCCTGACGGTGGTGGGCACCATCTTTGTGGTCATCTTGACTTCGGTGCTGCGTATACGGTGCCGCCCCCACCACAGCAGGCCGGTGAGCAGAGTGGGCTCCTGGTGGAGGGTGTGTGTGTGTGTGTGTGTGTGTGTGTGGAGTGGGCTCCTGGTGGAGG